AGCTCTTCCACAGCACACTGGCCAAAGTGATCCCTGAGTAGCGCAACGTAGCTCTTCCACAGCACATTTACCGAAGTGATCCCAGGATAGTTGTAGAGTTGTAATGTACTTATCAAGCCGTTTTTTTTGTTTTGTTTTTTTTTTTTTTCGGTGGCGGCTGTTGCCGTTGGCGCGGGCGAAGCTGCTGGCAGAGCACTTCACAACTTGCGTGTGGATGCTCAGATTTTTCCCCACCCGTAGGACTGTGGGGTTGTTAGATTTTTTGAACTTTGGACTTCAGCACGCCCGGTAGCCCAACTTAGCTCTTCCACAACACACTGGCCAAAGTGGTCCCTGAGTAGCGCAACTTAGCCCTTCCATAGCACATTGGCCAAAGTGGCGCAACCAAAGTGGTCCCTGAGTAGCCCAAAGTAGCTCTTCCACAGCACACTGGCCAAAGTGGTCCCTGAGTAGCCCAGCTTAGCTCTTCCATAGCACACTCACCAAAGTGGTCCCTAAGTAGCCCAACTTAGATTCTTCCATAGCACACTGGCCAAAGAGGTCCCTGACTAGCGCAACTTAGCTTTTCCACAGCACACTGGCCAAAGTAGCGCAACTTAGCTCTTCCACAGCATACTGGCCAAAGTGGTCCCTGAATAGCCCAACTTAGATCTTCCACCGCACACTGGCCAAAGTGGTCCCTAAGTAGCGCAACTTAGCTCTTCCACAGCACACTGGCCAAAGAGGTCCCTGACTAGCGCAACTTAGCTTTTCCACAGCACACTGGCCAAAGTGGTCCCTGAGTAGCCCAACTTAGCTCTTCCACAGCACACTCACCAAAGTGGTCCCTGAGTAGCCCAACTTAGATCTTCCATAGCACACTGGCCAAAGTGGTCCCTGAGTAGCGCAATTTAGCTCTTCCACAGCACACTGGCCAAAGTGGTCCCTGAGTAGCGCAACTTAGCTCTTCCACAGCACACTGGCCAAAGTGGTCCCTGAGTAGCCAACAGTAGCTCTTCCACAGCACACTCACCAAAGTGGTCCCTGAGTAGCTCTTCCACAGCACACTGGCCAAAGTGGTCCCTAAGTAGCCCAGCTTAGCTCTTCCACAGCACACTGGCCAAAGTGGCCCCTGAGTAGCGC